GTATAATGTAACCGGGAGGAATGCTGTGCTGAGTGCCTTCGGCATGGTATTCAGTGAGATTGTAGCACTATAAAGTCGGCATCAGTACACCGACATACCCGATAGGAGGGCAGCGGGGACTACACTAAGGACGTCATTCCGTCGACCACAGCCGCTACGACAGCCTATCCGCATCTGAGGAGCCGTCCTACCCTGGAGCGTGGCCCGGGTGGGCCTAGGACATTTGAATCGCCGAGGGCGTGGTAAGCGCAAACTCATCCCCATCACGTCGACCGAACACCGACTTCGTCAGTGAAGTGCAGACGGAAAATACGTCAACCAACCAACCGACATATCATGTCTCCAGTAAACATACAGAAATGCAGGCATACACACCACACATAAAGGCACGTCCTCAAATGACTAAAGCTAACGTCTGGAGCATCCATAGGCATACCTTAATACCGGAAATTTCATTCAGTTCGCACAGTAACTAGACTTTGTTCACAAGTAGATAGAAGCTTTAACTCAGCAGACTCTTGTTTGTCCGGCCTGAAAATAGCGTTGTTAAATTATTTTTGATAAGAAAACCATACCTTGCATGACTTTTATTGGGAAAAATGGAGATGAAATTAACAGTAAAGTGTTTACAAAATAGGTACGTCATCATTTTCTATATAAGATAACACATAGATTATGCATGCAATTTAGGGTAAAAAACATATCTCGATTTTTTTCAGCGTTCTTATGGGTCAGAACCGTCTCGAACTTCAATGCAAAATTATTTAGAAACTTTAATTAAGACTTTTTACATGTTATTTCATGGTATGATTGTGAACAGTGCCTAAAGTGTGATACAACTGGTCACTCATTCTTCGAAAACATCGGTATGTTCAATAGGTCAAGCTCAAAATATACTCATGTTAATTACCAGCAGGAAAATATCACTTGTTATACAAACTCTTACTAATTAACAACGCCTTAGTTGCAAAAACAATTTAATCAGCACATGACAAATATCAGTATGATCAAAAGGTCAAGCTCGGATTGGAACCTCAGATGTTTTTATTTGGTATCAGCTCGTGCAACAGGTCAGATTTTCTTGCTGGTCATTGATATATATTATAACACAGTGGTCTGTACGCATATATCAAAATGGTTGGGGAGGGAGTAGATAAGGGGCATGCTTTGGGCTTCAAGCCCTATGAGACTGTGGTTGACTGATGCATGAACTAAATATAAGCAGAAAGAAAACGATAGAAAATATTGGAATTTTAAAAAAAATGTTTATGTAATCGTTATTAAAGAGTTGCGATCATGGGCGACGTTTCTGATTGGGCTACTGTTACTGCTGGTTTACCACAGGGTTCTATTCTTGGTCCTTTACTTTTCCTTGTTTTCATTAATGATATCATCAATGACATTTCTGCTATAATCAAATTATTTCCGGATGACACGTCGTTATATTTAATTGTTGACGTACCTAATACCACTGTTGATATGGTAAATAAATATCTTGATATAGTCCATAAGTGGTCAGAAATATGGCTCGTTATATTTAACCCTTCAAAAACTGAAACTTTGACATTCAGTAAAAATAAACACACAAACCAACTCACCCTCCCTTACGTATGACCGATATTATCTTCAAGGAAGTTGACATTCACAAACACTATGGTACTAATATCTCTGGGGACGAGAGATGAGCACCTAAATCATGTCGTTATCAAAGTATCCGGAAAACTAAGCACACTGCGTAAATGAACATTTGAAATTGACAGATTATCACTCTAAAAAATGAACAATGTGTGTCACAAGGCCATTTTTATGAATATCGGGATTAAGTTTGGGACAACATAACAGTTGCTTAGTCTTAAATGCTAGAAAGTTTACAACCAGAAATCGCACCTTAGAGATGGGACCAAATTCAAAAGTATTCTTAATTTATACAGGTCAAATAGAAACGTTCTCAATATATATGTATAGATATAAAGTACATGCGTGTACCCACTAGCGCGTGGATCGCTTAATCTGAAATTTAAATATGAAGACTCTCCACACTGTATATACAAACAAACGATCCACGCCCCTGTTGTGTTCGTGTGTCCTCATTCGACAAATTTCGCAGCTTTCTTTCCTGTTTGGTAGAGCGTTATACAAAGTATACAAGAATTTTTATTTAGAGTCGTGTTTGTAACAATGCAACTTTAGCTCAGAAGAGCTATTCTTACGCCTATTAAGCGTTGCACGTGCATGGTCTGCTGGAAAATAATGCAAATACAATCAAAAGTGTCGTTAAATCGGCGATGTGGTAGAATTTGGAATATTTTTGCTCGACTGATAGTCTTTGATAAATCATCAAACAGAATGCCGGCACAACAAACTTGTTTCATGAGGTCAAACTTCTGGAATATTTTGGATTTTGGTTTCGCGTACAGATTGCAAGGTTTTGCACTTCAGGTGTTTTTAATTAGCGACAGTTTGTAATACTGATATGTACAGGTGAGATGTTTATGCCCTAATTACAGGTAACACTATTGTCTGACCTTTTCCTATTGAACATGATCGATATGTTCTAAAAATAGAGGACTGTTTATATCACCCCTTGGGGTATTGTTTACCATAATAATTATACTAGACTTTATTTAAATTCGATAACATTTGCTCGACATATAATATACCATATTTACAATATGAGTAAGAAATATGATACAAAGCACACGTACACACATTAAATACATAAGCTTATGGTAGTAGCATAATTGTCACAGATAAGTTTATCACATGATAGGTTTGGAAGGTCAAGGAAATGTCACATGTGTAATTATCAAATTAGTGAGTTGATTATAGGTCCAAAGCATAACTTTTCAAGTTGCATTTTAGAAATTAAGAAACACATATTGTGTCTAATATACATATATCACCAATAAGGCAAGTTGTAAAATTGACCGAATAAAAATGTATAAGCTAAATATACACTGTAGCATCAGCTAAAACCAAACAAAATATCGCAGAACATAAAATTTAATAATTAAGAGTATAATCAAACATGAAATATGTTTTTACAGATGTGACATAGGTGTCACAGCATAAAATCCTAGTAGACATACTATTCCCATCACATTTCTGTTTGTATATATTGTTAAAGTATGTTCTGCATTCTGATTTGAAACTAATCAATGTCCGACTTTCAGTGTTAGATGCTGACAGGCTGTTCAAAATTAGATTATATTTTTTTTTCTCGCACCTCAGACAGAGATATCCCACGTCATACTCCATGTTAGATTAATAAATTCTCGCACCTCAGACAGAGATATCCCACGTCATACACCATGCTAGACTAATAAATTCTCGCACCTCATACAGAGATATCCCACGTCATACCCCATGCTAGATTAATAAATTCTCGCACCTCAGACAGAGATACCCCACGTCATACTCCATGTTAGATTAATAAATTATCGCACCTCAGACAGAGATATCCCACGTCATACCCCATGTTAGATTAATGAATTATCGCACCTCAGACAGGGATATCCCACGTCATACTCCATGCTAGATTAATAAATTCTCGCACCTCATACAGATGTATCCCACGTCATACCCCATGTTAGATTAATGAATTATCGCACCTCAGACAGAGATATCCCACGTCATACCCCATGCTAGATTAATAAATTCTCGAAACCTCGGACAGGGATATCCCACGTCATACTCCATGCTAGATTTTTCTATCTCGTCCGATCTGTGTTGCACCTTAACGATCGAAAGTGAGCGTAATCCTTTGATATCGAGGATGGGAGTATCGAGGATGACACTGCTTATAAGAGTGTTGCAATTTAGATAGTTTAGACAGAAGTTGGTTATCGCTTTAGCATTAAAACATATTCATAATTTTCTACTATTTGGGTAAAAGACAACCATATGCCATTATGAACCCATATACTAAACCATCTAATTTCATGTAAAAGATTTAATCAAATTTTCAATATTCTTTAAAAGAGTTTGGTATATAGTTCCAATTCATACAAAAACTGTAATTAAATCAGGATATATTTATCTTCTACTTTTGATAATTGTTTTTTTAATATTTTTAAAGGGTATAAACTTGGTCACATCAGCGCTTTCAGGTAATGGTGTACAAATTACAAATTGCGTCACAGCTACGTCGACGTCACAGCGTAGTGGATACATTTGTGTCGTTAGTATATGTTAGCCAATGAAGGAAAGGCTTCTGGAGGTGAAATGGAAATTCGGTATGGTGAAATGCTGATTAATGAACTAAAAATGGTGCAGGGTACCCATCGCTCTCTTCTTTCATTCATAGTTATTGTTATGTTGGCATTTTCATTTGTTTACATTGTTACTATTCATACTTATGAAATCACGCGTACGTTTCATTATTATTATTCTCTTTATTTCCTCCAATTTGAAGATTACATTTAAACAGAATAATTAGCACATATTTACATTACAAAAAAATAATATTGAATACACATAAGCACCAAATAACATACATGACATATACAGACTTAACTACATTGAAGTCATACATTCAATAAATATCATTAATAAGTGTATATATGATGAGGTAATACATACATATCATATTCGACATTCATTTTTTTTCATTTTTTTAATTTGATTTATGTTAATCTTTATCAGGATGTGAGATTATATCTACACACTACCGGTAGTATAACTTGTACATCTTTTCGACAGCTGCTACTGATTTCAATCTAAATTCGGTATGGTGAAATGCTGATTAATGTACTAAAAATGGTGCAGGGTACGTACCCATCGCTCTTCTTTCATTTATATTTATTGTTACGTTGGCATTTTCATTTGTTTACATTGTTACTATTCATTATTATGAAATCACGTTTCATGTCATAATTAATCCGTCACGTCACGCTATCTGTCGGTTGTTGCTGTTCTATATGACTGTGGCGCTTTTTTGTACACGGAAGAGAAGCAAATAGTCGCTTACTGGACGTATTTACCAGACTGTGACGCTATTAGTTATCTGAAGGTTTATAAACCTGAAGGTACGTACCTACATCACATAAGGTGTAGCAGTACATTTGCACGCACTATAAATCTTTGCCGAGCCGACATGGACGGGACGGAGTCTAAGAATGGCATTAAAGCGAATATGTCGATCATCATGAAACAATATGAGTCGATGAGAGGTTAGTAGAATCGATCATACATCATGACATATATTGTACTCGATAAGACCACGGACATAGATAAATCTAATTCCGTGATAAGACTAACAGTGTGTGTGCTAACTTTAGCCCGAGTTTCCTCTTGCCCTGACACCAGACTTACTTAGACATTTTGACGGATAACGTAGGAAGTGTAAAAGAAGTGCATTGATCATGATTATGGGGTCAGCTGTAGGGAATTTCCCTTAAGCTCTGCGGTAGAGCACCGGGCTAGAGAGCCAAGGGTCGCGGGTTCGAGCCCCAGCGACGATACTATCTTAAAGTATCTTTATCACGATACTTCGTCCTACTACAATCTGGTGCCATTGACTCTCCCCGTTCAAGGAAGGAGAACCCTTGGCGGGGAGTCAACTAACCTGGGTTGGTGATTGAAAAAGGGGGGAATAGTGTAACAGAAGTGCGCTGACACATGCATTTTCATAGGGATCTTGATATTTTACAAAATATTATTTTCACAGAGTAATTAGACTGCATCTGTAAAAACAATTTAATCAACAGAGCGAAACTCCCTTGACAGCAAAATCGTAACGACTTCGAGCTTTTGAACTCGAGTGAGCATGTGATACGCACATGTGAGGCCGGTACACAAATCACATCAGTCTGCATTCCATTCGTTTCATACATGACCTTCTTGAAGTCATCTGGTCTCATGTCAGTGTCTTCCCGTGAGTCAGTTAATATGTCTTTGTATTGGAAGCTTTATTTTAGTACGTGATTATACATCTCCCAGTAAAATCTCGATATTGGGTGTTGACATATCTGGCGTCACGTACGTGCACACATGTACTTGTTTGTTAGGTGTTACTCTAATTTGTACTACGGTAGCAACATACAGTAGAAATGGCCCGACTCTGAAAAACAAGGCACATGTCGAGGAAATGTAAACACAGCGGATTTACCCTACACAACACATATATACATGTATATATATTTGTAAACTGCATTACATTTACAATACATATAAAGTACTGAGAAGTGTATAAACCTCTTTTTTCTATGTATGTCACTTGTGTGAAAACCATGGTTACCACATCAAAAATCACCAAAAAATGCTATTTTTGACCTAAAATTTGACCCCCGCAACTAGTAATTTTTTTCCTCAATTCTGTCTGAAATTAAAGATTACCTACTTGGTTGCAGAATTATCTTGGTCCCAGTAAAATTGTGAAACTTGATTTTTTGCAATTATCCGTCGTGTGCTGTTGTCAAAATTTTACCTCCTGTAAAGCTAGCTTTGCATGTGTAGGCACCCTTTCAGATTATGGCCAAAATTTTGGTCTCGAACCAAATTTTTAATTTTTTTATTTTACAAATGTGAAGCTCACATAGCCCACTTCATCATGCTTATACCAATTTTAGTACAGTTTTATTTTTATATTTTTTTTCATATCATTATACAGGGGTTAGCCATTTAACAAAAATATCACCCATGGCCACAACCCTCTACTGTACACTGCTACCTACGATAGTGAAATGCCCGATACTCAATACAAAAATGACGACACAGTATACATGCACATTTCGATCGGAATAATTGAGTCCAAGCTGTACTTTTTCCGGAGGTAATATGTCACGAAAATGGACACTGTTGACGATGTGTGGAGCAACCTTAAGTAACATGGAGTGTCATATTGTGAAAATTGTAAATATCAAAAACACTTAATCTTGGATATCATGTCAATACTTATAGGCTGCTTTCCCACCAGTGTCCTGTTTTGGATACACTGACGTTATCTGTACATAATAAGGCCAAATAAAACAAATCTTGTGTTTCCGCTAATCATATCTTATGAGTCGCTGAAGATAGCTAAATGAAATTTTAGGGACAGATATTATGAATGGAGAGTCATTGTTTCACATATCCTTTTCAGGTCTGTATGCTTAAGGTTAAAGGTCACATTGAACTCAAAGGTCTTGTAAACTCTTGTTACAGATATATAAACATATGTAGGATGGCAAAGGTGGTGTGTTGCACACTTAATTCAAGTTATGTTGACCCTTTACTGGCAGCGTTTCATGATTTTCTTATTGTTTCATTTAATATACAATTATATAACAGTGAATTCGATGCAGACAATCCATACCAATGGCTACCCAAAGAAATATCTCCAGTATTTTAAGCCCCCTCTGTAGAAGTCTGACACATTAAAGTTGCCTGCGATATCAAGAGTTGAACCTACACATACTATCACGCTCAAATTCAACCACTGCTAAGCAGCCTGGAACTGATATTACAGCCTAGCTGTCATGTGGATAATTTTGTCATGAATGCAAAGAAAAAGTCACAAGACCATAAATGATCAAAAAGCAGATCTACCGGACCGCCCCATGGAACATGAATTGTTCTTCCCACATGGGACTTCACTACCCCTCCACCCCACCCCCACATAATAATCACTGAAGCGTAAACTCTGGCTCGATGTTCATCATCCACTGGTCACCAACTTTTCCAACTTATCGGGCTTTGAACGTTCCTGGGTGAAGAGAATTGAGGGTTGTATAGGCAAATGGCACGGCCCTGCTGGAGATGGAGGGTGGGTCGAAAGAAAGGGCATGCACAAATATATTAAGGAAATACTAACATTCACTGATCATGAGAGATTTTTTTTCCATTTGTTGTACAGTTTTGCATTTTTGTATATATCTATAACAGGAAGGAAACGTGCTGACCACTGCCAGCAGTTCTGGGATGTCGTGGTCATAACTGCCGGCGATGACGCCCAGAAGGAGGCATTTGAGGCGCAGTTAGACAGCAAGTTTTCACGAAAGGAGCTTCCCCTGGACTGTCCGATACATGTAGTTGCCGACCCTCCTGGGCCAAAGTTAGGTAAGTCATATTTCCAGTTTTTAAATGTCCGATCCTTCCGGTTGGGTAAATCATAATTTCATACATGAGATGGAAACCCTCCTGGACCAAAGTTAGGTAAGCCATAATCCTATCTTTGAGATTGCAAACCTCTAGGACCAAATGAAAATACAAATGATGAGCAACAACACCACTGAATCCGGTACAAAATGTAATATTTGATTTACATCCTAAGTGCTGACATGTTTTGGCCTAAGGGAGGCTGTCTTTAGAGCACAGTTGCATGATGTTTGCAACTATGGTACAATGACAATAAAGGTCATGTGACTAGAACAATAAAATGTAACTGTGACGTCATCAAGTTGCTAAGAGTTACAGTCTGGTAGGGTGAAAAGGTTTAGCCATTTTTGATTGGTGCATAATAAAATAAGTGCTAAATAATTTCAGTATGATTATAGATTATATAAAAGTACCATACACAATGTAGTAAATGTGAATGAATGAATTGTAGTATTACAATATTTCCAATGCAAGAAATGATTAAAGGAACAGAAATAAGGGATAGTAAACATGAAGTTAAATGTATCAAAAGTGCTCAAACAAGTAAAACTCTTAAGGTTGTTGTTAGCTCACCTAGCCCGAAGGGCCAAGTGAGCTTATGCCTTGGTGCGGCGTCTGTCTGTCCGGCGTCAATATTTTACTTTAAACAACTTCTTCTGAATAACCGAGTGGCCCAAGCTGATGATATTTGGCCAGTAGCATGCTGGAATAAAGGGCTATCAAGTTTGTTAAAATGAATGACCTTGACCTGCTTTCAAGGTCACAGGGGTCAAATGTCTAAAAATCTTCAAACAACTTCTTCTCAATAACCAAAATGCCCAGGGTACTGATATTGGGCCTGTAGCATGCTGGGATGACCAAGTTTGTTCAAATGAATGACCTTGACCCAAGTTCAAGGTCACCAGGGTCAAATATGTTAAAATATTCAAACGGCTTTTTCTCAATAACCAATAGGCCCAGGGTACTGCTATTGGGCCTGTAGCATGCTGGGGTGAAGGACTAACAAGTTTGTTTATATGAATTACCTTGACCCACTTTCAAGGTGACAGGGGTCAAATGTCTTAAAATCTTCAAACCACTTCTCAATAACCAAAATACCCAAGGTACTGATATTGGGCCTGTAGTATGCTGGGATGAAGGACTACCAAGTTTGTTCAAATAAATAACCTTGACCCACTTTCAACCTAATGTCCTTGTTCGACATTCAAGGTCACAGGCATCATATGTTTAAATCGTTTAATAGGTTCTTATGAATCAAACACTGATATTCTGCCTGTAGCTGTATTTTAGTCCACTTTTAAGATTACAAGTGTGAGATTAATACCATGTGAGCGATGCATTCCCGCCCATTGGGCCTCTTGTTCTGTCTCTTAAGGAATTTGTAATAGAAAGAATATTAAGCATGATTAAATTGTCAGAACTGTTGTAAATAGAGCATAAGTCAATAAGCGTGTGAGAAGTTCTAGAGTGTTCGATTAGGATAAGCCCCGAAGAAGAAAAGGTCCTCGCATTGATCAGGGAGTTCTGTAGGGTAATCCTGTGGCATCAGCGATAAGAACATCAAGTTGTATAGAGGGTTGGTACATGTACAGTCTGTGTAAGTTGTGTTCTGAGGCTGGCAACAATATGTTGTGTAGCGTCCTTACTACAAAGTGTTGAATGCATTCTCAAGGTTTATAATCATTAGTCTGTGAGGTTCACATCTGCTGAAACTTCTATTACGGGTAATGTTGTTCTGTTCAAATGTATTGTGCATACAATAGTGTTGTTATGGGACCAAAGTTAGGTAAATCATATTCCTATGTTTGAGATGGCCAAAGATTGAGATTTGGAAATGAAGAAATATGGAATACTTATTTACATTTGTCGAATTTGAAGTGAATACAATAACAAACATTTCATTAAAAGAAATAACACTCGCTCTCTATCAACACAATATACAATGACAATGATATACACTTTCAGGAAATGGAGGGTCGACCTTCAGCAGTATGGATTTCCTCGAGAAAGAGTACAAGGAGGATTTGTGTGAAAAGCATGTGATGTTGATCCATGCCGGAGGACAGAGTCGACGAATGCCAAGCACTAGTGTCTTGGGGAAAATATTTGCACCCATTCCGAGTGGCAATCCCTTGTATCAGATGTTAGATGTTAAATTGGCCACCTACCTCCCGCTTATACCCAGAATGCCTCCCGGTGTGCTCATTTGCTGTGCGGATGACTTTCTCGTGTACAACCTCGGTAAAGAAGGTTCTGATGAGAGCTGGGGGTTCGTGGAGTCCGGTTTCACAGCTCTGGCACATCCATCTACTCTTACTATAGGAACGAAACATGGTGTATATGTTGTTAAGTCTCTTGACGAAGTTGACACTTCCCTTCATATACAACAGTCCGACTGTTTGGAAGTCCTGCAAAAACCTTCACTGCAGATGATGGATTCACGTGGAGCTGTTCTTAGCTCTAAACATCTTCAGTTTCCTGATGGAATCGAAATAAAAGGTTCTGCAGCTTATACTGATAGTGCATATTTCTTTACGATGGATGTAGCAGCAAAATTTCTCAAGTTCCTCAAAACAAATGGATCCATTACCTGTGAAATTGATGCTTATGGAGACTTTTTGCAGGCTTTGGGACCTAAAGCAACCATTGACTACACCAATCATACCTCCAATGTGACTAATCCAACTCCCAGTCTTATTCCAACTCGCAAGAAAGTTTATCACATGCTGAAAGATTCAAACATCCAGTTGCTCCTGATGAACTCATCAAAATTCATCCATATTGGTACCACAAAAGAGTATATCAGTCATTTTTGTTTTCATTCACAATTTCAGGAGGAAATGAGTCTCAGGAAAGATGTGTTTAACAAGTGGACTGAAGAAGAAGATGACGATGAGGATGAAGAACCCGTAGCAAAGAAAAAGGCCAAACTGTCTGATGTGAGCACTGGATGTGTGATGCATTGCATGCTACCCTTGAAATCATTTGTGCCGCAGAACTCTATAGTGGAGTACTGTCGCTTTGAAGTTCCAGTCCATGTAGGTCAAAATGTTATAGTCAGCAACTGTAGCTTTCGGAAGTCAACAGCAGATGAAAGGTCAAATGGCAACAAGAGTACACACGTCAAACTGCCTCTAAAAATTCCACACAATATCTTTCTGCACACGGTCTCCGTCCGTCAATGTGACAAGACTCAATATGTCACTGTCCTCTTCAGTATTGATGATGATCTCAAAAAGACAGTACCGGGAAGTAAAGCAAAGCAGTTACCATTACTGGGGGCAACCATAGAGGACTTTTGTAAAAGCTGTGGTATCGACATTGAGAGAACCTTGACCAGTTGTCTTGACAAAAAAGGTCAAGGAGCGGAGACGGAGCCTGTATCTTTATGGACGTTACGTTTGCATCCAGTTGTAGACTCCATGACAGAATCTCTGAGTTTAGCATTGCAGATTCACACAGCAGTCACCAAGAGAGAAAAAGTTGTGTCGCTCAAGGGAAGGAAACTTGTGTCCATGGATGATATACTGCAGGATAAAGATGTCAAAGACATGCTGAAATACAGAAATGGTCTGTACCAGGAAATCAAACCATCCGTGACAGCATAATCACATACATAAACCTGATCTCCTGCAGGAGCACAAACACGTCTTTAGAACTATAGGGTTGTCTTTGTTTTGGCCAGTATAAGAAGATACATCTTACGACCATCTACCTATTAACCTGTATCACAATACCTCTTTTGAAAGACTATCTTTTGTTATACAAATGTACTGGCAGTATGGTGTATAGGACCTGTTGATATATTGTTATGACTATCAATTACAGAGTTATTTCCCTTTGTATGATTGGAGCTTTTCAGATCTGTCCAAAAAGCTAGTCACTCCAATTACTTATTTCATTGACCCCTTCATTTTTAAAATGGACTTGCCTAATCTTTGATTTGGTAAGGTTCAAATGTGACGTTAGGGGTGAATGGGTTAAACTGCTAGGGTTTCCTGCCATCTAAGAACTCTCTTTGGTTGTGACAAATATGCAAGGATATGTATATTTTTTTAGGTCAGTTAAGTAAAATTTCTTTTTAAATCCCCACTTTTTTCACCAAGCCAATGATTCCTACATGTCAAACATCACATATATATATATACTTACAGAATTCAAAATCTGTCCTGAAAGCTGGTCTATTTCCTTAACTCATTCACCCTTGAATACACATATGAACTCTTCCAATTCAAAGGTTGGAATAGTTCATTATAAAATTTCAGGGGTGAATGTGTTAAACATGGTAGAATATCTTGCCATCAAAGACTTCGCCTTGTTAAGATAAATACACAAGGATATGTCTCTTATTTTTAACTGTAAAGTGAAATTTTCTTCAGACACTCTCTCTTTCAAAACCAGGTAAATAAATCATGTATCAACATTGCAACCTATAATGCCATATATATATTTAACCCTTTCAACACTGTAGACCATAATGGACTCGTCCATATCCATGCATGGTAGAGTCTACTAAAGTTAGATAGGGGTGAAAGGATTAAATGTTTTTCTTACGCAGCCATACTCTGTCTTTACTGTTCCTGTCTCTGATAATGCCATCACGTACCCACAGTAACAAGAGAAAATATATATTCAATTATTGTAATTATTTATGAAGCTGAAGAATTCTTTTTTAAATGACAATCATGGTTGTCTTTGTTTTTTTCTAATGAAGAGAAAATGCAAGCTACAAAAATTATAGTGGTCTTGTCATGCATCATTTTTGCATCATGTTATTTTCATGGGCTTTTCTTTTTGCGATTTTCACAGGACAAAGATTCCATAAATTAACCACTGTGCAAACTTGTTTTTTCTCTCGTTTTTCACAAAACAAAAACACCATATTAGGTATTAAATTGTATAGTCTATAGATATTGACATATTTACACTTAGATATTGAAAGAAGGAGATTATATTTATTAGCTCACCTGGCACAAAGTGCCAGGTGAGCTTATGCCGTGGTGCGGCGTCCGGCGTCCGGCGTCAATATTTTACTTTAAACGACTTCTTCTTAATAACCGAAAGGCCTAGGGTGATGATATTTGGCCAGCAGCAAACTGGGATGAAGGGCTACCAAGTTTGTTCAAATAAATGACCTTCATCTATTTTCAAGGTCACAGGGGTCAAATATGTTGAAAACTTGAAACAACTTCTTCTCAATAACCAAGCTGCCCAGGGAGATGATATTTGGTCAGTAGCATGCTAGGGTGAAGGGCTACCAAGTTTGTTCAAATGAATGACCTTCAATTATATTCAAGGTCACAGGGGTCAATTGTCTTAAAAAACCTTTAAATAACTTCTTCTGAATAACCAAAATGCCCAGGGTGATGATATTTGGCCAGTAGCATGCTGAGATGAAGGGCTACAAAGTTTGTTCAAATGAATGACCTTCACCCATATTCAAGGTCACAGGGGTCAAATATGTTAAAAACTTTAAACAACTTCTTCTCAATAACCAAAATGCCCAGGGTAATGATATTTGGCCAGTAGCATGCTGAGATAAAGGGCTACAAAGTTTGTTCAAATAAATGACCTTCACCCATATTCAAGGTCACAGGGGTCAAATATGTTAAAAACTTTAAACAACTTCTTCTGAATAACCAAAATGCCCTGGGTGATGATATTTAGTCAGTAGCATACTAGGATCAAGGGCTACCAAGTTTGTTTAAATGTATGACCTTGAATCATATTCAAGGTCACAAGGAGCAAATATGTTTAAAATATTTCAACAACTTGTTCTGAATAACCAAAAGGCTCAGGATGTTGATATTTAGTTAGTAGCATATGCTGGGATCAAGGACTACTATGTTTGTTAAAGTGAATGACTTTGACTTATATTCAAGGTCACAGGGGTCAAATTTGTTTAAAATCTTTAAACAACCTCTTATGAATAACCATGGGTCCCAGGATGTTTATACTTTGCAAGTTGCATCCTGAGATGAAAGCCTATATAATGTGTTCAACATAATGACTTTGTTCGACTTTCAATCATAGGGGTGAAATGTTTAAAAAAAAAATGACCGGGTCTTTTGAACGAATTTTAATCATAAATACTGATATTTTGCCTGTAGCTTTATTTTAGATCACTTTTAAGGTTACAAGCGTGAGTTTTATACCAGGTGAGCGATGCAGGCCCATTTGGCCTCTTGTTTTAGTACAGCAATAATAATTTATTGTTTATATACAATGTACTATAATCTGATAATTTTGTGCACTTTCCTGTCTAAAACACAATTATAGAAGTATTTCTGTTGAACATACAGGCCATTTTTGTGTTGAAATTTGAAATGTTTCCCTTTTTATCGTCCTCCAATTCCTTTCTGTGCCAGAGACATCTATATATATATATATACACCTTATGCAGACACTTCTCCGTGATGTATTTATGTTATTTATTGGTCAACAGGCTAGGACATGTTTATCCAAATAGCCCAATACTAATATTAAATTCATGTTCCTACAAATTAAAAACGATAATGCACAACACAAACAAGCAAAAATAATATTAAAATAAAATACTGATATTAAATTCATGTTCCCACAATTTTAAAATTTTAAAGCACAACAATCAAGCAAAAAGAATATAAAAATTAAAATGCTAATATTAAATTCATGTTTCCTCAAATTAGACATTTTAAATGCACACAACAATCAAACGAAAAGATTATAAAAATATTTATATGTTTATTGATGCGTAAACCTTTTACAACACAGATCTCTGTTTATCATTCGGTTGTATCCTTTTAGAGGAACTTCTCTGTCTGAATTTACTGTGTATATGTATATGATACATAATTGTTACTTTTTGTTATATAATTTATTAAACAGAAATTTAAATCTATCGGTTAAATAGAATTAGATTATTTGCAAATCCTAATGCATGCTGTCCTTCAGTGATGTTGACGCCCATACACTGTAGTGAAACAGGTGCTGTACTGTTGAGATCAGTGCCTAATTAAATCATTTTTGACATAAACTATTCATTTTGTATGTCTAATGGCAACGCATGTGTTATCTTCTGCATTTTTATTATAATTGCTAGGCTAGTATCGCTGCTGAATGTATAGGTCCCTGTGAGAACCATCAACTACCCTGTTGTAGCGAAACTGGAATGGGTCGATCATCAAAGACCGGTCCTGCTGATGGTATAGGTCCCTGTGAGAACCATCAACCACCCTGTTATAGCCGAACTGGACATGGTCGATCATCAATGACTGGTCCATCTGATGGTAGAGGTCCCTGTGAGGACCATCAACCACCCTGTTGTAGGGAAACTGGGCTGGGTCATTCATCAGCGACCGGCTCAGCTGATGGTATAGGTCCCTACGAGGACCATCAACCACCCTGTTGTAGGGAAACTGGCTCAGCTGATGGTATAGGTCCCTGTGAGGAACATCAACCACCCTGTTGTAGGGAAACTGGGCTGGGTCATTCATCAGCGACCGGCTCAGCTGATGGTATAGGTCCCTACTATGACCATCAACCACCCTGTTGTAGGGAAATTGGGCTGGGTCATTCATCAGCGACCGGCTCAGGTGATGGTATAGGTCCATGTGAGGACCATCAACCACCCTGTTGTAGGGAAACTGGACTGGGTCATTCATCAGCGACTGGCTCAGCTGATGGTATAGGTCCCTGTGAGGAACATCAACCACCCTGTTGTAGGGAAACTGGGCTGGGTCATTCATCAGCGACCGGCTCAGCTGATGGCATAGGTCCCTACGAGGACCATCAACCACCCTGTTGTAGCCGAGCTGGACTGATTGATCATCAGCGACCATTTCAGTTCACTACATTCTTCACACCTTATTCCAAGTCTTTACCCCTAAAGACATTGCTACTTACGCTACTTACAACCCAAGTTTGGGTATCCCTGTGCAAAGAATTTGCCCAGTATTTGAAACAAGGGATGGTCAGAAACACAACTGTAACAAAAAAGGAAAACATGCATGACTTGGCTTGGATTTAAACTGGGGACAATTGTCAGTAACCAGGAGCTCAATTGGTAGAGTGTCTGTCTAAAGTTTGAGACTCCTGGGTTCAAATCCCAGTCTCGCTGTGTATTTTTCCTCTAACAATTTAATTTAACAATATTATACATAGAAATTCCATTTCACAGATTATACGTATACTGAAGTTCTAAATTATGTTATTTTAAGGGCTCAGCAGTGATCTCTATCTTATTTTTGTAATTTGTTTAAGGTAATTCATGTAGTTAGTGGTTTTCTACCACTAATTTGTTCCTGTCTGTAATATTGCTTAGTACCTGGTAACAAAACCTGCATATAAGGTGCCCTGAATTATTATTGTTTATGTTTATTTATACTTGATCTAAAAAGGGGTGCTGTGCTTTGTTATTTGTAAATTATATCAATATGGAATCCAAGATTTTGTTACTTGTTTTTGTGTATATGTGCATAGTGGAGTTTTATTTGAGTTTGTATAATGTTATTTATATATGCATGAGGGGATAACGCTGGTATATTGGTTTATGTATATGGGTATATTTCTTAAATATCATTAATGGACTTGGTGATTGTTATTTATAAGTGTGTGAGGGGAATACCATCTATTTTGGTGATCGTTATTTATAAGTGTGTGAGGGGAATACCATATATTTTATGTCCATTTATTTAATATTCATTTGTTGAATTTCATTAATTTTGGGATATGTTATTTATACAGATGTAAGTGGGAAAGCATATATTTTCAGGTCACCTGTGACCTATTGCGATCGCCTTTTGTCCTTCGTCGTGCATCCGTAAACAATTTACATTTTCGACTTCTTCTCCAAACCCCCTGAACCAATTTCAATGAAATTTTGCAGAACCTTCCATGGCCAAATGTCAACCAAAATGTGAATTATATGGTCCCCAGCCCCCAGGGGCCTGAGGGGCGGGGCAAAAAAGGGTCAAATTGACTATAATTTCAAAAATCTTCTTCTCAAGATCCAGATATGGTAGAATCAAATACTCTTCATAGATGAAAGGGTCTTAAGGTGCTTTACCAAAATAGTGAATTTCATGACTCTGGGGTCTCATGTTTCCCCCTGGGGAGGGGGTAAACTTTACTATAGTTTATATAGGGAAATCACATTTTGGACCAACATTTTAATTTCCATTGTAATTAATTCAAACTTGGTTAGAATTATCAGTATTGGATAGCAGTTTGATGGTATGCACATATCAGCCCTGACTGACCCCCAGGGGCTGATGGGTGGGGCCAAAAAGGGTTTAATTGACTGAAATTTCAAAAATCTTCTTCTCAAGACCAAGATATGGTAGAATCAAATACTCTTCATAGATGGAAGGGTCTTAAGGTGCTTAACCAAAATTGTGAATTTCATGGCCTGCGGTCTCATGTTTCCCCCTGGGGAGGGGATAAACTTTACTATAGTTTAATTGTGAATGATATGGTCCCCGGCCCCCAG